CTATAGAAAAATATGTGCACCAATGCTGACTATCCACATTAAATTAAATATATTGTTCTTATATCTCATAACAGTGCTCTTATTTTCAAAGAAAGTATTTGAAAAATTTATCAATCTTAGGTTCTTGTTGCCACTGTTGCGTTCCCTCTATCAGTTCGGTGTCCGCCAATAAAATTGCGGGAAAAACTTCGTGGACGAAAATGCTGTGGAGAAAACAATGCAAGGCGAAAACATCATGCTACAAAATATCGTGGGAGAAAACATCATGGTACAAAACATCGTCGTCGAAAATAAAGCGGTTCAAAAACTTCACAGTTTAAAAACATCATCGTCGAAAATATCATGGTAAAAAATAAAGTATATACAAATCATCGCATGACGATAACATCGCAGATATGCTTTTTTCAGGCTTTAATAGCTGTAAATGAATATTCCCATAATAATTTGTGAGCAAAAGATAATTTTTACTTTCATATTTTTTATTAACTAATAAATTTTTGCTGAGAAAATAAGAAGGAAACTTAAGCATAGAAAATTAATGCAACTCCATTATATAAAAAGATATCCAGTATTAGCACTTGATAGAATTTTAAACCGACATAGTTAACTAACAAAGACCATTTATAAATCATTTTTACTGGTAATTTTTCATAAAAAGTATAATCTATTAAGTTGCATTTAATTTTCTATGCTTAAGTTTTCTTCTTACTTTTTCAGCAAAAATTTATTAGTTAATAAAAAATTGTGAAAGTAAAAATTATCCTTCTTTACATCTTGCGCTCACAAATCATTATGGGAATATCCATTTACAGTTATTAAAGCCTGAAAAAAGCATGCCTGCGATGTTATCGTCATGCCATGATTTGTAGATACTTTATTTTTTACCACGATATTTTCAACGACGATGTTTTTAAACTGTGAAGTTTTTGAACCGCTTTATTTTTGACGATGACGTTTTTGCCTTGCGTTGTTTTCTCTGCGACGTTTTCGGCTGTAACCATCAGTTCTTACTAAAACTACGACATGGCACCATGTTCATTTACTCTGTAAAATAATCTAGAATCTCTAGAGCAGAATTTGAGTGCACTCTGTATTAGTTTTTTGGGAGTATTTCGAAAATGATGAAGACATCAGCTTAATTGGATGGTGATTTTCTGAAAAAAAAAAAGTAACCCATAACAAAGCATATATCAGTGCTTACTAAAATCGTTACCTAGCGCCATGTTAGTTTTCTATTTTGAATACTGCAAAGTACTCCAGAACTTTTAAAAGTTTAAATGCACTCTCTATCATTTTTTTTTTTTTTTTTTTTTTTTTTTAGAATATTTCGAAAACAGTGAAGAAATCAACCAAAATAGATGGTGATTTTCTGAAAGCTCGTTTCCAGTGAAAAAAAAAAAAAAAAAGAGCTGATAACAAAGCTAAACTGAACCCTTAATAATTTATCGATGCATAGATATAGATTTGTAACTGTTGCTTGCTCAAAAGCCAACACGCTGCATAGTTTGTTTACACTCCAAATGGACAAACAAAAAACATTGTGTACTCTCAAGCATTTAGATTAAAGGTGCACGAAAATTAATATTGTTTAATATCTAAACAAAAATCTGCAGTTCTATTGAAGCTTAGTAAAGTTTTGCACAATTCACCTTGAACCAAAAAAAACAGGAAAATCGCTGTCTGAGGTTTTCAAAAAAACTACTGCTATAACCCTAAATGAAGATCCTTTGGAACTACTCTGATATGCGCCCTCCAGTCGCCAAATTTTTCGCCAAACATTTTTGGTGAGAAACTCCACGCTGCCATATAATTATTTAGATTTTTTGTCTACATTTCGAACTTTAAGCCTAAAATGTCTCCAAAAACACAGATTTCACACATGCAAAAACCACGTTTTGAACACACAATTTAAGCTAAAAATCCAAAACAAAAAAAACAAAATTAGATAGCAAAAACGTAAAGTTTCTAACCAAAAATATTTGACAAGAATCCATGTACACAGTGATATTTTTTAACTTATAAAAGCATCTACGAATGGCACAATCTACGCAATGAATGAACCTACGCACACCTCGCTTTAATAAATTAACATAACAACAATAAATTTCAAGGAATACCAAGTACACAGCATCCTGTTTAAACTTTTAAAAAAATCTACAAATTACACAATTTAGGCAACGAATGAATCTATGAACTACTCACTCCTCGCTTTAATAAATTAACATAACAATAAATTTCAAAGAAAACCATGTGCACAGCATTCTGTTTCAACTTTAAAAAACTTCTACAGATTGCACAATCTAGACACTATGCACTAATCAAGAAAATAAACTAAAATAAATTTCAAACAATTCAAAAAAAAAAAAAAAAATAACGACAGAAATTCAAACTAAAAAAAAAAAAAAAAAAAAACAAATGAACATAACATTATACAAAATAAGAACAAGAATAAAATAAAATGCACTTACCATGAATTAATGCTTTTTCAAACAGCAGAAATACCAATTTCATACTGCCTTTAACATGCCGCCATGTAATCTCTATCGTATTTATATGACAGCCAGACACACTATCCAGAAAATTCATACTATGGTTTACAAATAAATAAAATCACAAATCCCTACTTCTATCATGCACAGCCACTAAAAATAATCTCCCAGACCGACCCTCTTCCCACTTTTCCAAACACCCACTGCCCCTAAGTAGGATGGCCACAATAATATTTCCTTTTGCCAAACTTCAATTCAACAACTTCCACCAGTTTATCTTTCCCCCCCTATCTTCTCAGACACAGATGCGAACCAACGAGCTCCAGCAAAAGATTTTTCAATGTCAACAGGGTTGCCATACAACACACAATCGCGTTAAAAACCAGCGCAGAACACATATCGCCACATTTGGTGAAATTAGGGCATATATCAGAGTTGTACTGATCCTTCTGCATAAAGCCCAGGCAATACCAGATACTTCAGGTATTTATAAATATTATTAGTCAGTATGCTACATGATTTATTTTTTGTGCAGTTTTAATCATTTCGAATCTTTCTGTATGGAGTTTGATGTATTGTTTTTAATGAGGATTTTTATTATTCTTTCCATGATATACTTAAGAATCATGATTGTATTCATCTGTTTTTTTCTGTTGCACAAAACAAAGAATTTTGTACTTGATCTAGCATATCTAAAATTCGGCCAAAATGTAAACTTAGATTGGCATAGATTTTGAATAAACTTCAGACCTTGACCTCTTTTCCTAAAGACCAGTGACGCATCAATGTTCTTCCAAACTTTATTTTTCTTTTAAATTTCTGCCAATAATATTTTTCTTTTGTGCATAATATGCAATGTATGTTTTCAACAAATATGTTAAGATAATTTTCATCTTGTATTACTAATAAATCGATCAAATAATACTGGACATAATTTTTGCATTTTATAATTTAACATACAAATTTATTGTTATTCAAATTAGGAGAAATTACAAGATAAATACTTTAAATAATAATATTACTTAAATTTTCTGGGTAATTCTAGTGGATCATTATTTTTGTTACATTAAAATGATAATTTTCAGCATATTTTGCTAAGTATTTGAGTTTCATAATTACTTTTTTCATCAAAATAACATGATACAAAGGAAACTGTAGACAATAATATTCATCATTCACTAGATAATATATTTTATAACTAGAAATTTAGCTTGTAAACATTATACAAATTTATCTTTCAAAGTTTCTTCCTAAAATAAGTTTGAAAAAGAAAATATGTTGATCTAAAGTAAGATTTATTTTCATTGAATAAAATATTTGTGTTAAAATTTGATTCCATTATAAAATAATTTGATTTTTTGCTCAAAGGTGTAAAAATGGTTATATATTTCTTAGTAGTATGATGTATTATGGTGAATTTAGTGTTTATATATGCAGTCAAAAGTCTTTAATCTGGACTCGTTGGAACTTCGGCGATTCCGGATTATAGATCACCAATTTAAATCTGGTAAGATGGCATGCAGAAGTTATAAAATTAAAAATATGAAACCGAAATTTATGAAATAAAGAGCAATTATGATCTAAAGGGTATCAAAATTTACAAAAAAAAGCTTAATATTTATTTATTTACTTTATTAAACATTTCTTTCGATGTGCGCATACGTAAAGCATACATTACGCATAGTCGAAATTAGAAAATTGCAACCAGAAAACTATTTGATGTGTATTCATGATATTTATAATGACAAGGAATTTGATTTAAATCATATCAAAGACGGAGTACATCGAGATGAAATACTACATTTAGTAAGGAATTATAAGCCGAATAAAATAAAAGCATCTGCCCTGAAGATGAGGATGGTGCTGACAAATCAACTTCCAGTTCATTGCGATCCGCGACGTCCCCCCCCCCCTGCAGAGCAGCGTGAAATTGATAAACAGATTTCGGAAAGGTTAGAGAAACAAAGGACCTCTCCGTCACTTTCTTCATGCCTTTGTCCATTTTTTGCAGCAATTCCACTTTTTGTTTGATGGACATTGAAACATGCTTTTGCTTTGTAGATCAGATCCTTTGGCAGCTCCAGAATCGGAAATTCTTTTTGACATAATCGAAAATTCACGCTTACTTATATAAAATTGCTTACAGTCTGCAAAAAATAAGCCGGATCCAATTAGAAGATTAGGGAACAACGCATCTGCAACATTAACTGAAATAGATAATTAGATAATTTTAGCGTAGCTTATACCGTCCATTATACATTAAACGCGCATGCATAAACGCTACGCGTGCGCAGAAAGTTTGTAGCTTTGAGGTCCGGATTATAGATCATTTCGGATTAAAGATTTTGACTGTATATATATCTTGGTATTGTGATGAAGTTATTAAGAAAATATTATCCAGTTATTTGGTATACATCATAATTTAATGGTATGAATTTTAACTAAAAGTACTTTTTATTAAAAATAGGCTGGTTGAGTGACCTTGTAAAAAATTTTATCATGTGTTTGTAGGCATTGAGCGGTGGGTATCTCAAGTATGGTAGCATTGAAGTAATCAGAAATACTGTTAACAGGGAAATGGACACTAGAAAAACATTTGCTGTGTGGCGTGTTGATCCATTGTGGAAACCACAGCCGAAAAAGGTAGATTTCTGTATAATTTTATGTATGTTTAAATAGTAGAATTTCATTGAACTTCTGGTTCTGAGAGGAAAATATTTCTATATTCGGTTTATTTAGTTCATGTGTATATCTATGTATTTGTCTACTCAGCAACCAAATTATAAAAACAGCTCAATAGCACGTCAGCACAAATGATAGCTTGTGCTATACCAAAATATTAACTTTACGAATATCTATCAATACCAAATGCACAATGAGGAATCATGCATCCTTCACCCCTTATGAAAAATAGGTTTTACCTATCAGATGCTCAAAAGAATGAAAAGAAAAGCTACTCTTATTAGAAGTGGATAGAAGTTTTGAATTACATTAGTGCTTGTTTTTCTTTTCTTTTATGTTGTAAAATAAAATGCATCATTATTTAATCTTGTTTGGATACATTATCTTTAATTAACTTTATAAAGAAGTGTTAACTAATTCTTTTTTTGCTTCTTTGATTATAAAGTTGAAATAATATCTGAACTCATCACGCACACATTTTGCATCAGTAGTGTCTGTACATATGTAAATGTACTACAGAAATCAATCTCAAAATCATGGACCTAATGCTTCACTTATCAGCATCATAGAACTATCTAATTGGACATAAACCTGATTACTTAACAGATCTTTGGATGGTTTAGAACTCAAATGAGTATTTTTTTTTTTTTTTACATTGGAAGAATTTTGTATGGAACACTCAAAGAATTGTCTGTAGAGCAGTTGGTTGTTAGAATAGGGCATTTTTTCTGTCAAAATAAACTTTCTCTTTTAGGATGCTTAAAAGCTATGAAATGATGTAAATGATAAACTAGCATGTTCTTGTAATAAAAAATATTTAAGAAATCTTTGGTGTGCTAAAGTACTTGTATGCATCATAAAGACTCTTGTAATATCACAAAGCTACTACAATTTTGAAAAAATTCAGTGTCATTGAAATCTCAGCATCTAGAAGAATGCCTAGTTTGATAAAATCCTATTTCCCTCATTGTTTATGCCTATCTGCGGCCATATCTTTTTTCCCCTCATTTATAGTTTCAAATATTTTAGTCAAATTCTGATGGTGTCACCTCTTTATCAGCAATATTATTCTTTTATGATATCGGAGTAATTTTTCCAGTTATAAAACCAGTGATTAAACTTTTAATTAACTATCAAAATTAATGTAAAAATCATCTTGAGCTTTTTCTTCAAACTTCCAATATCAGTCTCAGATGATTTTCCAATCCTTCAAATGCATTTTATTGCTGAATAAAAATCTATAACCTGGAACAAAAGCATTGTACTTGACTGGAAATCCTCCCTCCAGTCTTGTGGCAAAGCATTTTGCAAACTAGTGGGTGATTAGGAGTTCAGTGTGCATCCATTGAAGAAATACCTGGGATTGACTCTTTATTTTATCATTCTAGAAAATCTCAAATTATTGCCATTTTCAGGACAGAAAATCTATTGGTTTTGTTGCCACATTTTCCAAGTTTGTTTATCCTCCATGTGCTTTCAATGAGACCAAATTTTGCCCATTTATATCATCTCTTTGCTTTCGTGTATGTTTTATTTACGAATTGCCAGTATGCACTTTGTTTTACAACAGTTTATAATATTTTGATTTTTCAATGTACGTGTATATATATCATATATCCTACCATGTAGCTACATATATCTTATCAAAAAAATCTAAGTTTTATGTGGTGTATTTGTTACTGTTAAAGTATGGAATTTGCTATTTCATAGAATGCCTATGACTCCATATAATGAGTAATACATTTGTGAGGTTGCTTCATACTTACTGCATTTCTGAACTCAACATATTTATCATAATTGCGATAAGTTCTTTTCATATATATATATATAATTCATGGATAGCATAGAACAATTAGGGTAGTGAAGTATAGTCCTCATGAGGTGAGGATCCTATTAACAAGGGTCTCTCTAGTTGAGAATTCAAAAGCATTTTGGAACATTGTTCGGATGGAAACAATCGGCTGACTGAATTAGCCACACCTCCCTATTTTTCAGTTTTATTTTATATCCTCTGATTTGTTATATCTGGAACAATATCAGAGGAAAACAAGATCATTGGTTCCTCAGCCCTCCTGAAATCATGACGACAGACACAGTGCAGAACGTTAAAATCTCTTGTCGTGAATCTATGTCTCTTGCACTGTCAATTGAAATGAATTATTGCGTCTGCGATGTCAGATTGTGTCATCTGGCACATCATAAAAGCTTGGGAACAGTGACTTGTGGGGACTGCACACATGATTTTCTAATCTCTGTGAGGTCCGCCGCAGAGTGATACCAGATCTATTTTAACTGTTATCATGAAACTAACCAAAGAAGGATTTTTTTCAATTGGGAACAAGAAAAGGCTGCATAGAACAGCTATATTCCAGATCCGAGTCCAGCATCTGTGAACAAAAACTAATTAAGATCAAAGAAGTGCTGGATATTAAAAAAAAAAAAAAAAAAAAAAAAAAAAAAATCGCTTCAGTCCATTGCTGCAGCTCAAAATTAATGTACCGGTCAGGGATTTAAAATGCGTTAATGGAAAATGCAATGTGTCGATAAAAAAATGTATTTGTTTTAGAAACAATGTTCTTTCCAATTCCAAATTCATTTTAGTAATGCTGTTTATAACAAATAATTGTATTATGTTTTTGTAGTATAAATAACATTGTATGTTTTGTATAAATATCATTTTGTATTCAGTTAAATTGTTTATTATACACTTTAACTGTCTATCATTAGTTAATTTATAGACTAGCTAATTATTGTATTAAATAAGTAATTAAAGTGTGTAATTATTAATCTGTTTACACTCTTCAACTGACTTGATCAGTTATATCATGAAATAACTGAATTATACACTTTAACAGTAACATATGCATTTTATGTGTATATATATATATGACAGGTATATAACAAGGCATGTGGTAAGCATATATCATGATATATATCCATCCAAAAAATTGGAAGTTTTAATTATTCTTAAATGGAAATTAAATCATACAATCATAATTCTATTTTCTGATGAATATTTTTTTTCCTGGTCCTCCTATATGATACAAGGGAGTAGGTAAACGAATGGGTGGAGGAAAAGGTAGTGTTCATCATTATGCCACTCCAGTGAAAGCTGGAAGAATTGTAATTGAAGTTGGAGGAAAAGTAGAGTTTGAAGAAGTATATCCATTTTTAAACAGAGTAAGTAAAATATAAAACATAGCATATTTTTCAAGTGCATGTTGTAGTTATATAAATTTATCTATAAAATGTTATGTTCAATTATTTAAAAATTTAATTTGTAAATATTTTGGTCATGTTAAGTTAAAAAGAATAAAAACTTTTAGAAAACTCTAATCACTGAGCCTTCGGTACTTTTGGTATGTTACTTGATACCTTATTCGGCACCACAATTTATTTATTTCGCATAGTTAGACCAACCTTTTTGTGACATAACCCCTTTACTAAATCCATCCTAAACTGACTAAACAAAAAATTACAATCACAGAGAAATTCACCTTAGTTAAACCTGTAAGACAGGCCATTAAGCATTTTAGTACTTTTTTTTTTTTTTTTTTTGTATGTGTGTGTGTGTTGTGTTTTGACCGGGGTTGCACCGATTGAATTGCTAGACAAACATTTGGAATGGAGATGTTCAAATAAGATAGCTAAACACTGTGGCAAGCACAGTAAATATATTCATCACAAATAAGTAAGTAGTTATAATAAGCTCAAAAAAATGACAGATTTAACATTTACTTTCTGGGTTTATTAAAAACATTTTTCTCTTGGTTGAGTAAGATACAATAATTTCTTCTGGGATGTTAAACATTCATATTTAAAATTAATAAAATATTTAGACTGCCAGATAAAAAATAATTCAGGTATAGAATTCTCTTTTTTTACACTTTTCCTGCAATCTTAAATCTACACATGAAAATTTAAACTTCTGGTACAGCCATACTCCTTTTCAGAAATAATTGAAATTAAAGAGTTACAGGAGTTAGCGGAAGATTATCGTGAAAGACAAAAATGAATTCTAAAATAAATGTAAATGTAAGTCCCTTTTGAAGTTAATAAGGAAGACCTAGAGGGGCGTTTCCACGAAAGAAGAAAGAAAAGTAAATATAAACTTATCATTTTCTTATCACAACAACTTATCATCAAATTTATCACAATCCAAGGATCCGCTTCCACCAAAACAATCCCGAGTATTCCTGCATGATGGATGATACTTCCTGGTAATCATCCTAGAGAGTCAAAGAAGCAACAAGCAGTTAAATATTTCTTGTTAGTCAGTTCCATATCTTCACTCTGGGTAGCAACAGAATTCAAGGAATATTTCTTGAGAGAACAATTGTCAGACGGAACCAGTGGCACAGTCATTCACTATTTCCCATACAGAATTTTTCCCCCTCTGGACAGCAAAAAGATTCAAGGATTGTTTCTTGTGAGAACATTGGACTGACCGAACCAGTATCACAGTCACTTATTTTCCGTACAAAATTTTCCTCCCTCTGGGCAACACGATTCAAGGCGTATTTCTTGAGAGAACATTGGCAGATGGAACCAGTAGCATAGTCACTTATTACTTTTTCTTTCTTTTTTCTTATTAGTGGAGCAATGCAAGAGTCCCAAAGGCACCCACACAAATATTGGATCTAAACATAGGTTCCTTGGAATAGTTACGTCCCACAAGGGACGTCAACTGCTCAATACCAATGAAAAAGCATTTTTCCTGAAATCTCAATGCTAGAAAACTATTAGCACCTCTTGAATCCAAAATCGCTGTCAAAGTGAATATCCTCCTCAAATTTACAGCGAAAGGAGAAAAAAGGCCTGGTTTTGCTCTTCTACTCATGCAGCAATTTACCCTTTCCACCAAAATCCTGTCTGAACAACCTGAGCAAATGAAGGCCAAAGCAGAATTCGACCACGCCAAAACTCGTGACCTCTGAAAGTATCCTTTCCAGCAACACCCTAATTTTTGTCAAGATAAGCACGTATGCAGCGCTGAAAACAAGGTCAACAGCAAGGAGAAATGTTCTAGAAGTTATGAGATGGAAGAAATAAGAAAGGGGAAAAAATGGTGCACTGGAAATAGTTTATCTTTTTATATTCTAAAAATATCCTTCTATATTCTAAAAAATATTTCCTTTATTTTTTTCTTTTTCAAGTAGGAATGAACAAAATAACTTCAAACCACCGGTTCCCAAGCTTTAAAGTAAGAAAATAAAATTTTGAGAAATAAATATCCCATTATATAAAATAAGTAAAAGAATTAATTTACGTTAAAATGAAATCTAATCGCTGAATAATTACAATCAAATAACCTGATTCTTTAATCGATAAACCCTCAAATTTCACTATACAACAGGTACAATATCTGTATATCAACAGATATAATATATTTTTTAATATGTTTCAGAGTAAAATGATATGCATTATAATTGTACACCATTCTAATCTGAAACTTGATTTAAAAAAAAAAAAAAAAAAAAAAAAAAAAAAAGCCATACTTTTGTAGATGTATAGCCTTTTAATTCCTGAATTTGAAATCTCTGAAAATCTTAATGTTTGAATTCCTTCTAGTAATATAACAGTCCTATATTTGGTGCATTTTGCTTACTGAAAAAGTTTTTTCATTCTGATTTTAAAACCCAGTTTTAGAAGGCTACTACTATAATTACTGTTCTTGTGTGGGTTAAATTACCAAATTTTTTTTTAATTAAAAAAAAAGTAATTTGATTATATTACTAAGCAAATTTTCATGTTCTCCATTCTGTTCATATGAGAGCTCTTTTCTCACAGTATCCCAAAGTGAAAAAATCTGATGTTGACACCACATGACTTCCTTGTATGGCCTATTCAATTATACACATTTTTTTGCTGCATTTCATTTAAACTTATTTCCTCGAATTTCATTAGAGATGTGTTTTTCATTCAATTAATTCAGTTCTCACTTTGCGGCAAAGCAAAAGTACATAAAAACTCGAAACATCTTCATTAAAAAAAAAACATAAAACACCAAATACAGTTAAAACATTTAAAAAAAAAAACTTTTACAATTAAAATTACAGTTTTTACACAAAAACAAGCAATTCAACCAGTGGGCAAGAAGTCAATTTTTTTTTTTTTTTTTTAGAGTAAAAAACTGAAAGTTTACTTTTGGTCCCACTCGACAAAAAGGCATTGAAGGTGCAGAAGCTGACTTAATTCACTGTTCTACCGAGTTTCAATTGTAAACAAATGGATTTTTCTTAGACAATCTACATTCTACAACTACTGCATGCAGATAAATTAAAGGCATAGAAACCTTAACTGGAGCATAAAAACCATATAATTCAATTTATTTTAAAACAAAAATTGCACAATTTACCAACATGTAAAAATTTAAAAAAAAACTGAGCTCACTGAGCCAGGTAACAGAGTGGAAATATATATATAGTTGTTGCAGCTGATTACAACAAAAAAGGGACATGAACAACTACATGTTATAGCGATGGCTATTCGTTCTTGAGTTAATGTGAGATACTTATGCACGTACAGATGTCCAAGAAAAAATCTCTTCTGAATCCATTTTAAATCCAATTTACATTCCTTTTTGGCAAAAGAATCCTTTATTCTGTCTGTATGTACACGTCATGTAAAAACCATTCAAGAGCTGTTGAAATGTTTTGCGATTACACTACTTCCCTTACTCTGTGTAAGGAAGTAAAAATTATTTTTCTGTTTTGCTTGTTAGCATGGTTAAAACAATTTAAGCATTTATATCATGATAACACTTTTTATTCCTTTGAAAAATAATGTGCATTTATTGAAAGAAAAAAATCTTAGTGCATGTTTATCGAGTAGCACAATTTTTAAAATATAAATTTAAAGATCATTTGATATCACGTAATTGCTTGATGTTGTCTACCAAGAGAAGTAAAACTGGTGAAATATTTAAAGTTCCAGTAAAGGTATAACTGTCCACAGCTCAAATTGTTAGTATTTTATTGTTAATTTATTGTAATAATATACTGCAGAGGAATTTTTTTTAATATATATGACATAGTACAGTTGCTTGCATATCATAGGCGAGATATGGTTTAAAATAACCTTGGTGGTTTAAAATAAAAGGAAATATATAATTTAAATTAATATACTTCTACTTTTCAGTGCTTGTCCTTATTTAAACATTTTTATATGTAAGAATTTCCCCAGTAGTTTGTGGATATAACTGACTATTCAGAATTTAAGTCATTGGAAAGTTTGGTTTGAGATCAATTTTTAAAATAGTTATCATCATATTCTAGACACCATTTTCGCAATTGTAATTCAAGTCATCATTACCACGCAGAATTAATTTTCTTCACGTGATTTAAGAGTTCGAGTTAGCTTTCAAATATCACTTCTTAAACTGAGTTGTTGATCATTTTCTAAGATTGGAGTAAGATAGTGACAGTGCAAACTCTTTCATGGTCTATATTAAACTTGCATTTTCTTTAAATTTTTAAGTATTGGAAAAGCTCAGCAATTACAGACTGTGAAGTCAGGGTTGCATAGAAGAAGGACTACAGACTCCATGCTAGTCTTCTCCTCCATAGACTGTTGTGTAATGGGTGTTTTAGAATTATCTTGATGGAAAAACCATTTCCTTGAAGCAGCTCAGATCTTTTTTTGAAAAACTGTTTCAAATAAAATATTAGCTTAATTAAATATCCGTTTACAGTTTGCCTCTTTAGAACCCAGTGCTGTAATATTATTCTACAGATATGAAAGAACAAAACTAATGCCGTTTTTTAAGAACCAGATAGTAGAAAAAGATGCAATAACTGGGAAGAAGGGATTCCTAGACTTGGCCTATTTGAAGCTCTTAACCATGATGATTAATGCCCGAACCCCTAGAGACGACCCAAGGAGGCATACCCCCCCCATTCAACTTTCGGAACAAAATTCCATACAGTCAAAGTTTATAGTATACAAGTCAGTGGCAACTGGCAAGCAGTTGTCTACGAAGAGAATGAATTCAGGTCAAAGACTGTCACCAGTGTTGACCAAGGGAAATCAAACCCCCAAAGATAATCTTCGATATTCTAACCATGTGATGTCCCCCACAACCAAGGGATAGACAAGACACTACCAGAACAATCCCTGCCAATCTTGAACCTAGTACAGTCACTGTAAAGACTGATTATATAGCCCAGGTGCTGTCTAGGTACAAGTCCTAGCCAGAACGTCTGGAGTTGGGCCCTACGAGGAATAAAATGAAGCAGCCAGTCACTATACTTATGCTAGACTGCTGCTTGGATTTGAGATCAAAATGTCTGATCCAGGACTCAGTAGAATTCAAGTCCCCCTACCTCCCAATTTGTGGAAAAAATGCTTGATAATATTGATTGTGATGGATGTTCCTCACTCAGTAAATGTAGTATCCATTTTATTCTAACACAAAATATTTTCAAATGCTTCTTAGGAATATCATGATATTTTGCTATACCAACAGCCAACAATTTTTTACTACTGTCTTCTTTGATTAATGTTCTGCTTTCCCAACATTCTTCTCATTCATCGATGTTGATAGATGCCTATTTCTTGGTTTATTCTGTGCACTTAAAAGGTATTTATCCCGCCATTTTAGCATGCCTTCATGGTGTAATAGTCAGCACACTTGGCCCGTAATCGAGAAGTCTGACATTCAAATCCTGGCAAGGGCATTGCTCATTTTTCATGTCTCCTGCTTCGAAATAACCTAATGACTCTACACACTCAATTTGCCTTTATCAAATGCTACTTGATGATCAATCTACTGGTTATCTTTCTCCTTTACATTAATTTAATCATCTTAAGTGCTTCCTGATCATCGTTGTATAACTTGATAGAAAATTCAGTTGTGAGCCTTTGTCTATAATCTGTTACTTTAAAATAGGCACTTCAAGGCCATTATTACCTTTGCACCACCTGTGATCGTAATTCATGCCATCATTACCACACAGAATTAATTTTCTTCATGTGATTTAAGAGTTCAAGTTAGCCTTCAAATATCTGCCTTTCATGAAATGAAATCCACTAAATGGAAATGAAGTAAAAGTGGAAAAATTAAGTGAGGCAACCTTTATTCTGCAGCTGTTGTTTGCATGATTAATCAGGTGTCAGAAAAATGTCAAATCAGGTGGCAGAAAATAACCTTAAAGTTCCTTACATTTTATATACCAATGTACTACTGTACACTGAAATTTGATTTTTACAGCAAGTAAATAAAAAGCAGTTGTGTATTGGCTTTATTTACATTAATACACTGCTCAACATTGAAAATGCAACACCGAGGAGGAGTGGTCAGAAAGTGATGAAATTTGGAAAAAAGAGACAGCAAGCAGCAATAAGTGATCTTTATTTCAAAATGATAGTCAGAATTCAGAGTGAGAACGGCGTCGGCTCAGTAGGATGCAGGACCACCGCGGACAGCGACGCACAAAGAAACACGTCTAGGCATAGAGTTAGTAAGAGTGCGGATGGTGTCCTGAGGGATGGCTCTGCATTCCCTTTCAACCATTTGCCACAGTTCATCTTCTGAACGAGGCAGGGGCAGAGTATGCAAACGGTCCAATCACATCCCACACATGTTCGATTGGTGACAGGTCAGGAGAATACTGTGGCCAGGGAAGCATCTGTATACCTTGCAGAGCATGTTGGCAGATGCAAGCACTGTGTGGCCGGGCGTTATTCTGGTGAAAAATTGCATTAGGCAGCCCCTGAAGGTAGGTAGATTGCCACCAGCCACAGTACATTATCCAAGTATCATTGGACCGTCATAGTGCTCTGAATACAAACTAGAGGTGACCTGGAATCGTAGGCAATAGCGCCCTAAATCATTATGCCACATTGTCGCGTGGTGGGGCATTCCACAGTTACTGAAGGATTAGATCTATCTCCACATCGATGCCACACACGTACTCGGCGACACACAAACAGAAGCGTGACTCATCTGAGAATACGACGTTTCGCCATTCTGTCATCCACATTGCTCCAGTCTGATACCATTCTAAACGTTGGCGTCTATGCTGTGGGTTCAATGGCAGGCTTCTTAACTGACACCTTGAGTGCAGGCCACGTTCAACCAATCGACGGGAAATGGTTCTGGTTGACATGGGAACATCCAGGTTATCTTGCACACGCTGCAGAATCGCGGTGCAAGTGACTTGCAGGACCACCACAGCTTGTCGGCGGATACGTCAATCCATGCGTGCTGACATCACTCTGGCTGCTCCTGCACCCCTCCTTCTTCCCCCATTTCCTTGTTCCAACCATAGCCAATGCACCATGCTCACATCCATGAGGGTATCAGCTGCGATTTGATGTAAGAACCAACCCGCCCTTCTCAGTCCGATCACCATACCCCTCATAAAATCATCTATCTGCTGGAATTGCCTTCGTTGACAGCGGGCTGGCCTTCTCTCCTATTACACATATCCTCCGGGACAAAAACCAACTTTCTTCGATAATTCGTCTGGCAGAAATAACAACACAAATATTGCCCATTCTGCATGTTCCTTCCCTTATATCTTACTTCATGTGTGTCGGAGTGATGCGCAATTCACATCATTCGCATAACTCAGTGACGAGCGTCTACTCTAAAATTTGCATAAATTTCTGACCACTCCTTCTTGGTGTTGCATTTTCAATGTCGAGTAGTGTAAATGCATATTATTTCAGTGTGATTAGAAAGACGAGAATTTTTTATAGATTTATGTATGACTAAATTAATGACTTAGCAATCAAAACAAAATTTCTGTATGAGGATAATATTATGAAAGGATTATGAGAACATTAGTTTAAGTGTAAATAGAACTGTACACTGTGTATTGGAGAACATGTGTTAAATTTTGAAGACTAAACTCGTTTGAATTTACTTCATTTATTTATTTAGTGTATGTAAATCATGTTAGATAATAAATGGCACGAAATTTTTATTATTAGCTGCATTTCCCCTAAAAAGAAATACCAAACCTCTCAAATTATGTTTTTATATTCTCTAGAATGAAATATGTAAAAGCATAAAAGTTAATTCTTTAATTTATAATTTCCATAAATTTATTTCTAGCTTTTTTTGTTATGTTAAACATGAGCAAATGTGAATATAGTACCAATATGTATTTAAATTTCTTTGTTTTGCATTTTAGTTTGACCTTTTTTTTTTTTTTTTCTCAGGTAGCCATGAAAATGCCTTTTGATGCTATGCCTATTAGCCAGCAAATGCTAGAAGAATTAGAAAAAGAAGCTGAGGAATTACATCAAAAGAATATTAACCCGTTTAGTTTTCGTTATGCTGTACAAAATGATCTGCGTGGTTGTAATTTGTGGACTTCTGAATGGGATAAAAAATATTTTGATGAGTATATATAAAAAAGAATAAATATTGTTTTAAAATTGAATATTTATGTGTATCATTTGGCTTTTGAAATATGTAACTGAGAAATGCAGGTACATAGTTCTGTTTTTATAAACTTAGTTTTTACAATTTAATTTGCAAATGCTATTTTGATCCTTTTTGTTACAGGTAGAAGTTCTGTTTTGTTATTGTAAAAACATTGTAATCTATAACTTTAAGTGAAAAAATTATGACAATTTATGAAAACTGTTTACTTTAATTGCAATAAAGTTGATAAGGTAGTTGCAGTGATATGGCTCATTAAGAATTTTTCCTGTTTGTCCACTTTATAAGTTCTTGCCTTTTAAAGTGAAATGTCCTTAAAGCTAAAACTATAGTAAACTGATAATTTTATCCCTGACTTAACTCCTGACAGTAAAATGAGGTAAATGCAGTTGTTTCTGTGATTTTTCACCTTAATATTTTCATGTGATGTATAAAGATAAGCCCTGCTTTCACATATGCAATCTCTACTGAAAAATCATATATGAATAAATCCCTTTCTTTGGACTTCCTCTGTTTGAGCTGAAACAGTATCCTATAGTGTGCTGTAAGTAAGGTTTGATAAATTAATAGTAGCATGTGGTCTTCCCTTTGAAATGTATTGTTTGTTCGAGATTGTTCTGTGGGTGGAAACTAAGACCATAAACTTCTAAAATTTATAAAATTTTAATTATTGGTCTTAAGGTGTTGGTCTTATTCTACTTCAAAAACAGAATTTCTTAAAATTTCTATCTGTTGCTTATATTAATCAGGTTTTATTTTTTGTTTTTAGGAAGTTTTTGGAAAATTTATTAATAAAACAATTAATTTTAATTACGTTTCTGAAATTAGGACTGTACTCTATGCTATACCAAAAGGGCAAAATTAAAAGGGCAAACTGCATTTTCTTTAATGGGGCATGCACAATATGTTATATATGACAGTCACTAAATTGAAAGTAAGAATTGGTTGTTCTTGGCCAATTCTTATTTTATCTCATAAAAAATATCATTATTATCATCTGCTATTGCCAGTTTGGCTTAGTATTTAAATATTTTAAATACATAAAAAATTTCAGAGAATTAATTGTGTAATACTGATCATGCCATTATTTAAGTTCTTGTATTTTTTTAATTATATCTATTCTGTTGTATAAGTTGCTAGCTTCTTGACTGAAAAGGGAATACAATAGAAGTGCATAATGGGTACTAATATTGTGTAGGGTACACTAAAAATTGTGCAGTGACATTTACATGGTGTATTTTGTCAGCCATTTAGTGCATAAATGGAGGCATGCCACATACAGCCCTGTACCCTTTTGGTGAGGCTTAAAATGTCCTGTGACACTGAACTACATTTACATGTTGTTTGTTAAAGTTTTGTGTGGAGCTTAAAATGTAACTGAAACTTACTCAGAATGTTTTATCAAGGTAAATGTTTTCAAGAAACATAAAACCTTTTCATAAGGCCATTCAACTTGAAAGCCATTAAGCAAGACTTTATTCATCCAAATTGGAATAAAATATGATAAGACCATTAATGGCTGAGAGGATAATTAACAGAATTAAATGTGAACCATTTTTCCTCGCAAAGAATATTTTTCACAAGAATCGCCATAGGAAAGGTGTTGGCTAGATTTTAAAAAGTGTCACATTTGAGCAGGGAATCGTAAAGACATGTATTGGATCTTCTGAAACACAACCAGAGTGACAGGAATTTCCTGAAGAAAATGATAACTGGTGAAGAGTTCTCAATTTTTCTAATACGATCCACAATAACACAGAAGCTGCTCTCTCTAGCCTTGTAAAACCCAGAATAAGTAATTCCAAAATTAGATCAATGTTGATATGATTTTTCAACAGTTAACTTTCTGAAGCCGGATGGTACAGCAGTTGTACCAGGAGAATGACTTTCTCTGACGCCGGCATTGGTACAACTGTTGTACCATCCATGCCCTCCCTATTTTAGAGAATCGCCTATCTGAAGATCTCTGGGTGGTCCATTGTTGCTGCTCAGAGTAGCCGCTGGTTACACATTATTTCCCTCTTCTTATCAGTTTGGCTATATTTTGGCAAAAACCGCAGGTTTCGTCTCGCGCCAATATACGTACTTGAAAATCAAATAGAGGCCATCTCTCTCTCAATCTGTCTCATAATTTTAATGCTAATTAAGTACTGACTTTTGCTATGATTAAAACGTCAGCGATTTTGCATGCTCTTTAAGCTTACCAAATTTAATGTTTTTTTAATCATAGCAAATAAGAATAGATTAATATTTTACATTTAATGCCCTTCTAGAAAATAGGTAAAACCGTTTTTATCGTTTACTCGTTTACCTTTTCATACTTATGAATAATAAGATTTTATTTTGACATTTTTTTGTGGAGTGCATAAAACCTTTAAGAACTGTCAACTCTTTCAAAGTGCTTCTATTATGCAGGCAAATTTTGTCTGATTTATCAGGAGATAAATAAGAGACAATTGTATGCATAATAGTTTTTCTGATTTTCATTCATTCAGTGATTGCTTTCAATGATTTTCATTGATTGTAAATTAAATAAAATCAATTTATCTTTAGACCCTCTTTTAGGATGAGATCTGCCAAAAAATATTTAAATATCAGTAAAGCTCACGTTACTTCTAAATTGAATCAAAACATCAGTTCATTGTTATAAAATTTTGGCCAGTTTTATTTGCTGAAATTCTTATACTCCTCAAGAGATAGAAGGGAATTCAGACAAGTTAATAAAAAAATATATTTAAAAAAGGTTGTTATTTTGTCTGTAATAAGGTGTATGTCAACTTACTATTAAATGTATGAAAATTAGGATTGGATTACGGAAAAGCACGCGAACGCTATCTGCTTAAGGGAATGGATGCTTTCGTGTAAACCTTTTTAAGAGAAAATTGCTCGCATTTACATTCCTGGTGGAAAACTCCACATGTAATCAACCCGTTCTTTGGCATTGATTGGATTAATTTTGTTCGCTTACTGAATTACATCAAAGCACACAACGATTACCTGTATAAGGGGAGTTATGCCTTCACGGAGGACTTTCTAAGAGAAGCTGGCTTGCATTTACGTTACACAAAAACCATGAATCCAACTATTTAGCCGGGATTCAAACCCAAGCGAGCTACAAGTGTTCAGCCACTTTTACCGCTTTACTGAAGAGCTCGTAAAAATATTGATAAAGGAAATATATTGAAATAACCGGTTTAATTTACTAACCTATATTTCTCAATCGACAGTACATAAATTACGCATATGAGGGGATTATTTGTGAATAAATAAACTGTATTGCACTTTTCTCCACTATTTCATATTACGATGGAATTATTGCATTTCAAAGTTATTCTCATGAATTAATTTTGCTCTGTTCATGATTTTTTTATATTTTCAAAGAGAAAATTTCATACTTTAAATAAAAAAATATATACACGAGAAGATACTTTATGCAAAATTTGGCGTAAACGGTTTTCTTAATTTTGCTTTGAAAATATTGCTAGGGTAATCGTTTTCATTACTGGAAGAAATATAAAAACAGAATTTACTACATTGGTATCAACACCCAATATTTCCTTATTCTTTTGAAAACGTGAAAGATTACTCTTTCTAAAATAAATTAGAAAATATATTATGTGCAAATAGAATATTCGTTGAAAATGAAATAGACTTCAACCTTTGGATATAACGATGGTTTTAGACGAAATTTCTACCTGTGAAAAGAAATTGACATATAATTAATTCTTCATGAACATTTAAAACTGTTCTCAAAATTCTTTTGATGATTGCATGTATAGGTCACGGATTTTTTTTCTCTGCTAACATAAACAAAAGCCAATTTTACAAAGAAAAATTCTCGTTAACCCATTAATGGTTTGGCCCGGATTTTCTCGTTCTTTTATGCAGGTCTCTTAACGGTTCGTTACGGATTATTGTTAGTTTAAATGTACCCTCGAAAACGGACAGTCCCGTGTTTTTGTATTATTGAAAAAAGACGCTAAAAAGGACTAGCCCGTATTTTTGTATGTCTTCCAACCCCCAATGCCTAAGGGGACAAGGGTCCATGCAATTCTGACGACAATGGGTAATGGCTGTCATTAGCGTGGGGAGAAATCTTCTTGATGTTTTGGGATAAAGGCCTTACACTGACTCTAAAGAAACAAATTTATTACCAGTTACAAAGTGGATGCATATATAAAGGGATTTAAGAATTTCCGTTTTAGAGCAGTTATTGAATAAAAAATAGAATTTTTTACAAAATGAACGTTTACCTATAAGAGCATTAATGAATTAAAACGAGAAAAATAAAAGTAATAAATGCAAACATAAAAATCTGAAAATGCAAATCTTTCAGATTTTACATTAGGCCCAAAGGGCGTTTTTTTAACGGTTTGTGGGTTACCTTTATTTTTAAATATCATGTTCTTCTTCGCACTTAAACCATAAAACTTCAGTTAAACAGCAATACCGCAAAATAAATTTTAAATGAGCATATCTTTAGAATTTCCGATACACAGTCTCGCCCGTTGAAGATAATTTTTTATATTATTATTTTCATACAGTGTTGCCTTTGCTCGCTTTAAAATCGTTGAGTTTCTTAATTAAAAATTCATTGAAGTTTTACGAAATATGAAACATATAAAACAAACAAATTCCAAATCTCGGCTTCGAGATGCCCATATTCGGGTGGAAATGTACGTTATTCAAAATTGGATGGGTCTAGGTACCGTTGTTTTATCACAATGCGAGAAACATACATATATTTATGCAGATTATTCATTATTTAATTTCAAGGCAGATAGCCCTCGAGTGCTTTGCCGTAATCTAATAAACCAAAACCATTATTTAATTTCATTAAATATAATACAGGGCTGTAATATGTGGTAGCAACAGTTTGAAAAGTGAACTGACATAGTTTTCAACAACGGAAAATGAAAAAATGAAGTTAATAGACCTTCTCGGCTAACGCCCTTTGTTTTAAAAATAATGTATCGTGTAATTTAATGGGAATACGAG